GCAACTCTAGATTATCGGCATAAACGTCACGTCCCTAGCTGACAGCTGTCAATGTCACTAGAAGTATGGATATTGGCGCGCATTCTGAGTTCTGACGAGAAGTGTTGCTCTTAGTTAAAAGCGACAGTATCAATTAAATAAGTTGTCTAAAAGTAGTTACATATACATCAATTTCCGTATGCAAAATCGTAATAGTTAATTCCATTATGTAACTACAAGAATGAGAAAAGTCGTGTGTATAATCTTAGCCATAGTATGGAAATTTATACTTAAATTGCATTTACTAAAGCGCTTAGTAAAATCACTCCAAGAAATCTACAAAACCAACGCCCAAAAGCACTCAACTAATGAAATAAACTACTAAACCTTATTCATTGTTGCCAACAAAATAAATCAGAACAAACGCTAGGTTCGCAGTCCATTTCCCACATAGATAATTCTAAATTTAGTATTGCTCTATATTGTAAATGAAAGGAAATGAATCCATTTTAGCAAATTGAATATAGTTGAGCTCATGACAGTAATGGGACATCCTCTTTTAAATATTTAGGTTAAGAAGTATCTAGAAGAAGTATATAGAAAATTAGTAGATTCAATTGAAATTTTAGATATTATCAGCCACTATAATTAGTGTAATTCTCAGTGCGTTCGCAAACTATGATTCTTATGATCTTATATGGTGCGCACATTACTCGATTTTTAGGTGTGCAACTAAACAGTTAAATTGGCTGCGTAATAATGGACAATCCCACTCCAGTTGTGCGATAGTTTAGTCATAAGTGTGCGCTCCCAACGTGTCGTAGTTTCAATGTTTCAATGCTTCTGAAGTTTCTTGTGTAAAGTGATACTAGAAATAAGATTTATTTCTACAATGCTATTTATTGTAATGTTGTAAAGATTAATGATGTGTATTTTTGTATGTATTTGTAACTAATAAACTCAAAAACTCTATCATCTTCATCATCATCATCATCACCAGCTCGCTATACGTCACCACCTAGGGGCTCGGTGCCTACCCTAATAAAGGGTGATTAGGCTCTCTATGAATATCAAAAATTCTTTAATTAATTCGTTACATTATCCCTGAGTAAAATAGTATATATTTATGATCGTTATTACATCTATACTTAAGGTTAGCGTGGTATGGACATGTTATGCGACGAAATGATGGGGACATAAACCAGAAAGTGTTGAGATTGAATGTGGATGGCTACAAAGGAAGAGGAAGACCGAAGAAAGTATGGATGGATTGTGTGAAAGAAGATATGCTTAAGAAAGGAGTGGATTCAGATATGACGGCTGATAGAGATGTATGGAAAACCAGCACATACTGTGCCGACCCTCCATAAGGGATAAGGGCAAGTGGAAGATGATGGTTACATCTATACTTAATAATATAAAAAGGCAAAGATTTGTATTTTTGTATGAATTGAAATAACTCAAAAATTACTGGGACGATTTCTCCGATTATCGCCGAGTAACATAGGCATTCTAAATTTTACATGGACGAAGTCGCAAATAACAGATAGTGTTTTAAAAATGTTAAACAAGGACTGGTCTATGGTTTAGATGAATGGTTTCTTTTATTATTCTTGAAGTACTGTCGCACATGTCCGGCTCTAATTGATCTTATTAAGAATTAGCAAGATGCTGTTTGCTCTCTTACCAATTGTTCCACTGAACCTGCGACCTTAACAATGACTGACATCCGTTGTATATTTGACCTAGGATATCAGGCGTATACTCTTGTGTAATATTTTCTTCAGTCTTTATCATGAAGACTTTAAGGAATGTTAAGGCTTTGCATTTTGCTTGTGCTATTTTGGTATTAATGTAGAAGTCATCGAATACAAATAGTAATAGAATATAAATTATCAAGATTTATAGAGCGTCGATGGCTCAGTGGTTTAAGCCTTTGACTTGTAATCTTGGTTCGAATCCCGCCGTGTACCAATGTGATTTCCAATTTTTCGAATTTCCAAATGTACACATCGTGAATGAAATGAAAACATCGTGATGTCTGCACATATCAGCGAAGAAATTCAAAGATATGTGTGAAGTCAACCAACCCGCAGTGGACCAGCGTGGTTGGCTATGGCCTAGTCATCCTTAGGGTAGGCTCTGAGCCCCTCGGTGGGGACGTACAAAGAGCTGTTGATGATGGTGATGAAGTAAATTTAAGTAATTTCTATTATTAGCTAGGATATAACCCAATTGCATTAGTTAAGTTCTCAAAATGATGCATAACTTAAAGTTTTATGTTCTAAGATAAACAATTACAACATTTTAAAAACTATTTGTTACATCTTACACGTATCATGTCCATTAGAAGAACAACACGAAGAGCTCTCAAAACTCAAGACCGAGGTCTTGAGGCTCAAGAGGCGGATCTCCTCCGCAGCGCCAGTCAGAAGGGAGTGGGTCGTGCGG